ATACATATAAGATAAGTATAACAAAGAACTTTGTTTATTAAATGTCCAACTGTTAAAAAAATAGGAACATAAATTGTATCTCAATAATATACTCGTAGTTACATACATTTAAAATTATTTAACACTGACCTGACCATTTGAATAGGTAGAATACAGTTTGTTGGGGTCCGCAAGTCTAAGCAAACCTCCAACTAAACTTTTTTAACTACTTCGCGTTGTTTTAGCGATGAATATCATTATCAAAAGATTAAGTTTGTCGACTTATGTTGCGATACTCTCAAATGAATGAATATTTATCAAATGAATTATTTACAGAAAGATATTTTTAACATGATGTGATTAGTTTTTTGTCAATTGACAAGACACCAAAAGGTAAAATTTTCGGATCGTAATCCGTGTAATGGTATATAGTACGAGTACATAGTTAAATATTATACAATTTTCAGACAGAATAGATTGTGCTTTGTTTAATTATACAAATTAAACAAAATACTTTGGTTATACTGCTTTACATACAAAACATTCAGCATGCAACTTCTAGTCTTTTTTCTGTGGTGCAAAACAATAAGATCTTTATACAACTCTAAATTATTCGACACTCAAAAACATTTTCTAAACATTTCTATTCTTAGAAGTTTCGCTTTTTCTTCATTAATTTGTTTTTTGTTTGTAGACATCGCTGCTGTTTCGATATTCGTTTGTGAATGTAGAACAATATCAATTGAGATATCTCGAGTATACTCAGCACACTGGAACCAAAGAATACGCCAAAAATACCACCCATCTGACCTGAAAACAGTATACGAATAAATAAGGTTTAAACGTATTTCAAAAGTTCGGATTTAATACAAAATGCTAAGTTTAAGAAACCTCTGCTGAGGTAGGGCGAGAATTAGGGCTATCAAGAAACATATATGAATATGTTAACTCCCATTCTAGTTGTTATTAGGTACATATTGGTTTCGATCTTTTGCGTTTTTATGCAAAAATATGTGTTACTATTTTTATTTCTGCAACTATTGTTGCTGCACCGACTTCGAAAACAAAAAAGGAAAAGAAATCGAAAACGTATTGACCCGAGGTGGAGTCATAAAAAAATTAGAAGGAATCGTATCAGCAGAAGCACTGGAAGGGTTGTTCCAAATTTTAGACATTTAGTTTTGATATATAAATATGACATTGAAATCTCGAGAAGAAATTGAGGATGCCGGACGGGGCATCAATGCGATCAAATAGCTCGATTGGGCCCTGTGAGTGGTACTAGCGGTAAAGTCAATAATATATTATGTTTATTGATAAAGTGAAATCTACGAATTGATAAGATGGAGCCTTCAATAAATATTATTCAATTAATTCGCGGTCAAAGTATAGTTTATCAATAGGTTTAATAATAACCGTTGCTCTTGCGCTCCGAAACCTATTCAGTAGGTTATTAATCTATAATATATAAAATAATACAGTCGAATTGAGAACCTCCTCCTTTTTTGAAGCCGTTTAAAAATGAATCCCTATTTCCCTTGGTCACGCCATCATACCTGTAACCGGCTGGACCGGTTTCGTTAATTCTTGTTTTTTGTGTTGTGTTTGTTATTGTCGGGAGAAAGACTTTATGAAAGAAGAAAAACCAAAATTGTATTGTAAAAATTACAAACATTAAAGAATATTTTACCACCATATTAAATTATATGTCATGTTAGTGCTTTGGATAACATAAACTTTTTTATTATAACCTTATGGCGTTTGATATAGAATTGCACAGAATGCTTGGTGCAAAATTTCATGATTAAGACAGGATAACGTCTGTCGGGTCAGCTAGTTTTTAGTAAAAATATAGAAAGAAAGAAGTTTATAGACCACATATGTGCATGTTCAATGATGTGTAAGAAAAAAAATACATTTCCATGAAGAAACAACAGAACAGCCAACATAATATTGGCGCTGGCCTCTGTGCCACATCAAAACGGGCGGAATAACACAGAGGCGCTGTTATTCTGATAGGGCCCATTGGTTGAGTTACTTACAAAAAACAAAATGAAAAAGAAATAAAAAAACACAGCTTACAATGTCAAGTGTCTATAGCTAGATAAAAAAGAAAACAAGTATCATAAAAAGGTATACCTAGATAAATCAATATATATAAATAGACACAAAATAATATAGTAAATACATGATGAAAGAATAAATATAATATAAATACAGAAGTAATAATTCTGAGGCTGAGGCCGTATGTGCAAGATTCCTCTGTCCTCATCAGAGGACAACACGACTAGAGTAGTTTGTGGAGAAAAAAAGTTGGTGTAAAGATTAAATGTAAAATTACGTATTTAAAACAAAAGAAAGCACTCAATATGCACCTCCACTGGATAGCGACTTAAGCAAAAGTTGATTTTTCCAGGAAACGAATGGAACAAAGATAGTCATTTTTGTTCCTTCTAACAAACACATTGAAAATCTGAAATTTGCCAATTTCGAAACTTAGATATCAATACAAAAACAAAAAAATTATAAATAGAATATTAGTTGTTTATTGAGTTTTGAAAATTTATTTACTTTTATACATGAAAGAAAACCAGAAGGGTTGTCATGGAGAAATCAAGAACGTACCGTAGCGACATCTAGTTTGATTTCGGGAACTATTTTTTAATACTTCCGTATTGTTCTATTTTACATAGATATCAGAAAGTACCCTTCAGATATCAAAAATACATAAAAATATCTTTTGCCACGTAGGAGATATATAAAGTACTCCTAGAAACTAGGTATGTTCTTAACGCTTTATCCAAAGTACCTACAAAAATTTCACATTGATATCCGAATACCTACTTACCGAACAGGTCGTAAGCGGTGAAGTATGACTGGCGTGTGCTTTTAGTAACTTCTCTCTCTTGTACGAACAAACGAATTATTGTTACCTCCTCAAAGTTCAAGTCCTTGCTACAAGTTATAGAAATAAAGTTCACACGTTTATTGACTGACTTTTGATTGTTAAAGTATTAAATATTATAGTCCTGGAGCTGTACTATGAAAACTAATTAGCGATATATCATTAATGTCATCATGCTTTGTCACATTATAACAATAAAATAAAATATAAGATTCAAAACGCAATTACGTTCAGTTATCCCCCAATAAAGCTTTCAATGTTTTGTTTATATATTTTTCTAATCAAAAAGCCCACACTGTGTTGACCTTTTGTTTCACTGTAATAGCAATATATATGTTTACTATCTCACTTAAAATAAATAAGTAACACAGTAAATAAGTTAGACAGTGGTATAAGAGTAGTAGATTTAAGTTTGAATCACAGTTCCGCGTCAAAGAATATATATATACCCGTGCTCTATGTACCATTCGAGCATTTTAAGAGTGTTATGATAACGTTATTCAAACAAGTATAAAATTATAGTTACTCACTAAAAACTGTCGAAAGGTATATAGTTCTGATTCAACTCGTACGACGTTGATATAACTTTGTGGGCATTCGAGTCGCACGTCGGAAGGCACTTGCAGTTCTCAATGTTCGTTTGACCTGAACATAAGAAATTAAGAGGCACACACAACTTTCAAATTGAGAACATTCATTAGAGCTTCATGGATGTTCGTACAAGTAGGTGTTATTCGTTAATTTTAATAAACAAAAAAAAACTACCTCTAAAAATAATGTACCAATTTGGAGCGATTTTAATACACATGATTTTAAACTAAGACAGATCATTTGGGTTTAATTAAAACTACTTAATAATCCACTAAATTAGTTTTGAATGTAAATAAATAGCATTAGCGTTTTAATCTAATGAAGACACTAGAGTTCTCTCTCATTGGCTGAAAGAAACTGTACGATTTCACTTTAAAACGATATTAGTTCACTAAATAAAGTTATAAGTTTATTGAAAAAAATAAAGTCGATTACTTCCTGTAAGATAGGGAGATTTATTTAGTAAATGAACTAATAAACTGCATTGTGCTCGCATATTAAAGTGTGTATTTTGTGGGCGTAGGGCAGAAAAACAACAGGGTCAAAAACAGTTTTTGACCATTTGGCACTTTTCGTGAACGGTTTTAAAACGATTACCGTTAACAGCTGTGATGTATCAAGTTCACTTCCTAGTAACTCTTAAAATGGCTAAAATCAGCGGGGCAATTCAGCTAACGTTTAACTCTACGGCGTGCTTTTTGCCATTGCACTATCTACCTTAAGTCCAATATTATTAGTGCGATGGTTCCCTCACACATCAATGGTGACAGATTTATAATAATTTTGGTTTCGGGTACATAGTACAACGGTAAAATGTAAGTTGTTGAGATTCTATTGAGATGCTATTATTTATAAACATTAGGCGTATTGGCCTGCAGGTCATGATCTTAAAGTTGCCAGAACCGGGTGATAATATAAACGTGAACTTACGCATGACAGTTTTCGCACAAGCCACTGCTCTTGGTTCGCAGTATGTCTCAGACGGCAACGGATGTGTAGGCATTGAACATTTGCATTTCTTGAGCATATTCGCTATTTCACATTCCGTTCTACAGTAATGCCTTCAATTCATGCAAAAAAATAAATAAAAATAAATACGTTACTTAACCATAAGCCGTTTAAAATCAAAATGCTTACACATAGTGTTTATTGCACTAAAATATGCTATAGAAAAGAAAATGGGACTAAAGTTTTTCTTAGTAAGCTGTCATTTCTTATGAATAAACATGTTTTATATATGGTTTTAATTTATTAGTTGTAAAAGTCGCTTATTTAAGTTGCTATTCAGTAAACCGAGCTTTGTTGACAAAGCGAATTCTAGACCTATTATAGTACCAACATTCTTTTTTTGTTACTATAGTCATGAAACTTTAATTGCGTTTAATGCAATGATTTTGTGTAAGTTATTATTAAAAAAAGGTTTATACGGAAAATAAAACCTCTCACATTTGGGGTGGCAATAATATGGTGGTAAAATATATGAATACTCAAGCAACATATTTATTTTAATCGTTCGACTTCAATATCAGAATGTTCGAATTATATGAGTATTAGTTTTCTTTTTTTTTAGAAAACAAATACTCTAATAGTCTCTCTAACTATACTCTAATAGCTGAGTAGCTCGTTGGCGTAGTCGATAAGCGCCGCGGCCCGCGATCGTAGTCGTTAAGCAACTTTCGCAATGGTCGGTCACGGGATGGGTGACCAAAAAATTATTATCTCGAGCTACTTCGTGCTTCGGAAGGCACGTTAAGCCGTTGGTCCCGGCTGCATTTGCAGTCGTTAATACCCTCGCATTGGGCCAGCGTGGAGGGTCATGGCCCATCCTCCTTAACCATCCATAAGGAAGGCCTGAGCCCCTGCAGTGGGGACGTAAAAGGGCTGGTGATGAATAGTCTCTCTCTTGAGAGATTGAAATTTTAGAGAAACGTAACTGTTTATAAACGGGGAAGTATTTCAAATGTTCGTCATTAGGGAGGTAGCAGCGGCGGAGACCGATGCTGAGGGACTTGGAGTTTTCGGAGACTTCGAATGGATCTATCTTGTAGCCGAACCACATCTCCAGGCCTGGGGACAGCGCTGTTCCGTTCTCTGTAAGCGATTCCACATAGCGTTGTGCCGACGTGAAGATTATCTAGAAAAGTGTGTTAGTTTTTATTTGTGCAACTGATGGAACAAGCATTTGTTTGATGGAAATATAATGCTTCATTATATTTAAGTTAGTTTCCAACTACCACTATTTTTGAAACTGAAAAGCTTAAAAAAGTCATTCTACTTTTTAAGCTCTTCAGTTGCATTCTTGTGATCTTTTGGCTGCCTTGAACTTAACTAGAGGCCTATTGCTGCCTCAAAGAAAATATTATTCTTGGACTATCATATTATAATAGAATTGACCATATGAAGAAAAGAAAACGTACTGCTTACGCCGCTAGGCACGCCATGGTACCTTTTGATCCTAGCCTAGCGTAAATACGCCTTTGATCAGGCCTAGCACTTCCATCTATTTCGACAGATGATGTTTTTTATAAAATTACAAAATTGTTGCCTAAGTTAAAATTGTAATAATAGTACTTTACATAAGTTGATAGTTTAAAGAACGTTTTGTAGCATACCTGTACTTTTAACACAACTGATGAGTGAGGTTGTTTATATTTACCTGAGGGTAAACGGAGTGGGGATCCGTATAAATCCCCACATCAAATACTTGGGCCTCTGGCTGGACAGCAGATGGAGCTTTACACACCATTTCAGCCAGATGGCCCCAAAACTGGAGAAGACGGCGGTCTCCCTAGGCAGGCTCCTGCCCAACATAGGAGGACCGAACGTGGTGTGTCGCCGCCTGTTTGCCGGAGTCGTTAGGAGCATGGCTCTATACGGTGCTCCAGTCTGGGTCGATTCCCTCACTGCCCACAACAAGGCATTGTTGAGAAGACCCCAGCGCACCGTAGCGAATAGAGCCATTCGAGCCTATCGTACAGTTTCCGGTGGTGCGGCCTGTGCACTGGCCGGTATGCCTCCGTGGGAGCGTGAAGCCAAGCTTCTCACGGAGGTCTACAAGGCTAGAAAGGAGTCTCTCGCTCGAGGCGATCGTTTGGCTCCGATTGAGATGGTCGCAGTGCGCAGACAATTTGAGGAGACTCTCATGATGGAGTGGTCCCGGTCACTCGAGTCTCCTCCCGCCGGAGTCCGCACCCTGTCCGCCATCCAACCAGTCCTTCAAAACTGGAAGGAAAGGCGACATGGGCAACTCACCTATCGATTGGTGCAGATTCTCACAGGTCATGGCTGCTTTGCCAGATACCTGCACCAAATAGGTAGAGAGGACGCGCCACTATGCCATCACTGCGGTGCTGGTGAGGACACTGCGCAGCACACCCTTGAGGTATGCAGTGCTTGGTCCTCCCAGCGGTACGCACTGACGCTGGTGGTAGGCCAGGACCTGTCTCTCCCCAACGTAGTTCGGTCTATGTTGGGCAGCCGCAGGTCCTGGGAGGCGGTCTCCTCCTTCTGCGAGACCGTGATGTCGCAGAAGGAGGACGCGGAGAGAGCACGCGAGCTGGCAGCCCTCGCTGGCTCTCGCCGCAGTCGTAGGACAGGGGGCAGAAGACGTCGCTATGCGCGCCTGCCTCCGTCTTGAGGTCTGACTCCCTAACCCTAGGTTCTTCGTTCGGTCTGGTCTGCGTACTCTGTCCTGGGCAGGTTCGCGGCCGCATATATGCTTGCATGTGTGCGACCGGGGGCTTGTTCGGGTGGAGAGCACAGACCAAGTGCACAGATTGGACCGGTCTCGTAGTCGTCTGTCTCTTTCTTCTCGCCAGGCAAGGTGGAGGTGTGCGAGGGGACTGAGGGAAACGGCTGCGGGGTGAGAGGAACTTGGGAGGTGCCCTACTGAATAGTGGGGAGGGGAGTTCCCTTCGCTCCGCGGTTGCGGCGCTGTCGGGGTCCTGGCTCTCACACACTTACATGCATACTACACACACATACATACACTCTACTCTATCCTACACAACACATACACATACAGTCACACATTCACAGCTACACACACACCGGCATACATACACTTTCACACACACATTCATGCATCTTACACACACACATCTACACGCCGTACTAGTCTGGAGTAGTATAGTGGGTACTTACCTGGGTACTTACCTGGGGACTTACCTGCTGTGCTTGCTCGACGACTGGTGCGGCGCCGGGACCTCGGTAGGGCCGCAGCCGCGGCGCGACGAGAGGGGATGCAACCAGTCGACCGGCTGGACGCGCCCTGTCTGCTCCTCGAAGCTGATACAGGGCGTGATGAGGTCGGTCTTCTGTGGCGCACCGACCTACGGGGGGGGGGATCCACGATAAGGGCTCTGCCTGTGTGGATCCTCCCAACACGATGGGTAGGGGACCGGAGATTGCACAGTTGCGCATCTCTGGTCTCTAGTCAGGGGCAGGCATTGCACGCTCCTGCCTCGTCGTGGGGGTGCGTCTCGAATGTCTCTGAGACGTACTCCCAACCCGCTGTGGGACCTGCCCTTTTTAGGGCGGGCCGAAATGGGGGCGAACGGCGCGGTGTATGGCCTTCGGGCTGATCCCGCGCATCGCCTTCCATGCGAGGGACATCGCTGAGTTTTAGTGGGTAAACTCCTGTTTCTTGTCTAGCCCCTTCGGGGGTGGGGCCACAGGAGGAGTCCCACATCACCCGTGGAGCCCGCGCAGGGTGAAGCGGGTATGCGTAACGCATTTCTCAGCGTCAAAAAAAAAAAAAAAAAAAAAAAAAAAAAAAAAAAAAAAAAAAAAAAAAAAAAAAAAAAAAGGTTGTTTATATTTGAGGTAGAAATTGAATAGCAGCGTTGAGTTGGCCCGTCGGTGGTACGCTAAACCTAAGTTTTTTACAAACACCCGCTTGCTTGTTGTTTAACTTATATAAGTAATTTGATAAAAGATAATATTTAAGTGTTTTTATTGAACTATAAATGTGTAAACGCTAATTTTTTTACCCAACCTTTCTGGTTTTTGTTGCACTAGGTGGTACAATTGATATGTAATTTGTTATTCAACGATGAATTAAAAAAAGTTCTATGTAGAGTTCTATGTACGAAATAAAATCATGCAGAAGAAAGCAGCCCTGCAGAATTTTTGCCGGTGTTTCTAGTGCACTGTCTCCCGCTGTACCTACATCTATGTACCGATGGCATAGCTCTCGCTGCATCTACATCTGTGTACCGATGGCATAGCTCCCGCTACACCTACATATATGTACCGATGGCATAGCTCCCTCTGCACCTACATCTGTGTACCAATGGCATAAGTTCCCGCTGTACCTACATCTGTGTACCGATGGCATAGCTCCCGCTGCACCTACATCTGTGTACCGATGGCATAGCTCCCTCTGCACCTACATCTGTGTACCGATGGCATAGCTTCCGCTGCACCTACATCTGTGTACTAATGGCATAGCTCTCACTGCACCTACATCTGTGTACCGATGGAATAGCTCCCGCTGTATCTACATCTGTGTACCAATGGCATAGTATTTCGACATTGACAAGTGCTTGTCACCATCCACACTAAATAAATTTATTCCAGTTTGACTTTCTACTCTAAAGACATTTAAGATGGACAGTGATCTTTTTAGGCGCAGCTGTTTTCAACGATTTACTCGTAGATAATCACTACATAGTATAAAACAAAGTCGCTTACTCTGTCCCTATATCCTTATGTATTTTAAAACTACGCAACAGATTTTGATGCGGTATTTTTCATAGATAGGGTGATTCAAAAGGAAGGTTTTTATGTATAATACAAGACCACACGGGCGACGCCGCTGGCGGAAAGCTAGTTATTAATAAATGTGATACTGTATCAGTTAGGTATATGACTCACCCATTTGTATGAGAGGTCTACATTTCTAAGGTTCTGACGTACTCCTTGGTTCACGGCTAACGTCATACCACTTTTGTAACCAATTGAATTAACATATTGCTTCAAAGATGGCCGTTTAAGAGGTAGACCTTGAACTACAATATCCCTAAAAACGAGAAAAATATGTTTTTCCTTTTGAAGTACGACGTTTGATTAAAAAGTTAGGTACCTCTTAGTTTTATTAAAAAGGCTTTGTCTTATTAGGCTCAGAGTAATGAGCAATTTTGTTGTTTAAGTTAATAGTAGTCATTTTAAAAAAAAAGTATCGTATACTCTCGTCTGTTTTGAGCCGCTAGTGGTTTCACGAGAACTTTCCGTAAGTTAGTTACCTTTTCAAAGATCTTCCGTTGAATACACAACAAGTACCAAATTGCATGATCTCCATCTGAAATAATTTCGTGCAGTTCCAAATAATTCCATGCCATCGACATCTGCAAATGTTAAAGTATTTCATAATATTCTGTATCTTATTATTATATCAAGGCGTAACTCTATAAATTAATCGAATGATTATTTTACAAATGCATTGAACTTTAAATACATTTTTAATTTATGTATGCAGCTAAGTAAGTAAGAATTATGTAAAATCTTGACCTATAAATTTGCCAACACGTCTAGTGATGTAATATATCTCAAAACGGAACTTATGTCTTTACGAGTCAAATTATACAAACCTTTGAATTAATTAATGAATTTTTAAAGTGATTCAGAATAATTTCGAGATTGACAGTTATTGTAACCCTAAAACATTATTTAGAAATGACGAGTCCCACTAGCAACACATAGAGTGAATAGTAACGTCCCCCGTTACTAATTAATTATGGTTTTTATTCAATGGTTCATATAAACTGTAATATCGCATAATATTTTATCTAATGTTATTATTTTTGAAGGGAAATAAATACGTACCGCAATAACATTTCTTCACAAGTCGAGGTTAATCGTAGAAACGTTGGCTTCAGACTCATACCGTTGTATCTAAGTAAATGAGCTAAGTTCTCCAAGTCTTTGACCGTGTAACGTACGTCCGGGGAATAATAAGTTGCAAGCTGTCGAAGTACTGATTTTATGTATGTCCTATTGAGATTTGGAGGTAATCGTCTGGAAAAAAATATTGGTATAAGTAAACTAAAATCTCTTGAAATATCTAACACGTGTGCAGAAAAGACAAAGTTATTTTTTTTCTGAATCAGGTTTTCTTTAGTACAGTTAGAAAAATATTTTGCGTAAGGAAGTTTGGATAGCGGAGGCCAGTTTCTTGAGTATAGTAGTTGGAGTGCTGCATCATCCAACCACAGTTATAACACTCCGCGTCAGATGACAGCGGGGTGTGGGATGTAATCAGTAAGTTTTTGATAATTAGATCATCTAATCGGTCTACATTTTATTTGTATACTAACATATTTTCAAGGAATTGTTCCATCTTATGGTCGGGAAAATCCAGTTCTGGGCAAATGAGTACCGCTGGGAATGTCATGTTGTATCGGTAATTCTCCCTGCGCGTTATATACGTGGGTTTGCTTTCATACCGCCATAAAGTAACCAACGCCGATGTGACAGCGGTCCCAAACAGTGCCAGTAGAGCTATGAGCCATATAAATCTACAACAAATTTGGTATTTAATTTGTGCCACTAGAGTCAACAGATAGCCAATCATGTTCTATCATATTATTGCGCATCACCAAAATGAATAAATTTATAACAGATTTGTATAAAAATAGAGAACCAAAAGCATATAAAAAAGGAGGCATTGCCATAAAAATATATCAATAAAGAGACGGTACAACGTAATATTTTGTATACTACTTTTTGTACCAAAATAATTTATAAATATCTTATTGTATTAGTGTTTAATTTTATAGTAATCTATAGTATATATTCGATAAAGGAGAAGAGAGAGACATTGTAAGTAAAGATGGATATTTTTAGTACCGTATTATAAGAATAATTACCTACCTATCTTTTTTCTCAGAAAGTCTATATATGCCATGCAGTTGCGCCAGCCTCAGTAAATGTACAAAGTTCATCTCGATTCTCAGAGTGCCTAATGGTAAATGAATAAAATCCGAGGAAAAACAAAAAAACTAGCAAAAGAATATCAATCATACGGTCAATAAGTGCTGATACTATCGCCTGGTTTTATTATTAATATTTTTTACGGTCGTCTAATCTACAATCTGGAGAATAGTTCATAAATCGCTGTTAAGTGTAGTTATTTTTTATGAGTATTTTGACGTATAATAAAATTGTTGATATAAAATGAAGATAATGAATATTAATTACCGTAACATTGAATTAGGGTAAATGTTGCTGTCGTGTAAAAATGTTATTTTTCCATATAATTTATAATGGTTGTCCAACCACGCCTTCTCCTCGTCTTTCAGGTCAGGGCAGGACCTAAAGGTTGTAGATCCCTGATTTGGGGCATAATGCACTTCCCCTGCGTTGATCCCTAAATATTATAAATCTATCCTGTACTATTATAGCATCCTTTTTTTTTGTACCGAGGGGAACTGACCTTAACATGCCATCGACCTTGATGAGAGGCCGACTGAACCCGGGCTCTCCTGCTGCGGAGGTTAAAGAACCCTTATCTACCGTGCAAAACCCTCCGTATTACCCTCACAAGGGTCTGGGACCTGGTATCTGGCAAGGAAAACCCAGGTTACCCAGACCATGATTATAGCATCCTACAGCCGATAATAAGAAGATTTTATGTTGACTGGTTATACGCAGAGCAGATTTTTATAGGTTGTCATAAGTTAAAGTTTATTCAATCTTTTAATCCAATAAAATTTTAAGATCATACAAAGTTTTAGGTGCATAAATACGTTTGTAGGTAAAATAATAATTACCTAAAATTTTGCTGTCTAATTAATCCACTGTTGTACTAATAATAATTTATTTGTCGATCCACCGGAACGTTCCAAATTAGCGGGCTGGATTAGACTGTTATAATGTAAATAACGGTAATGCGCTAATTGAGAAGGCATCCTTTGATCACAGCATTCTAATTAGAGTTTAACGCGTCTCTGAACCACCTTGTAGTACATAACGGTACACTAACTGTTTTATGTGAGAAGGTAATCATTACAATAATACACCTAACATGGGTAATAAACTAAAAATAAATTTTACATCATTCATAAGGTAATAATATAAAATTAGATACATGAAATATATTAGAAGCTACAAAGAAAGAAAGGCAAAATAGTTGAAAAAGGGAAAAATTAATAATCATCATCATCATCATCATCAGCCCTTTTACGTCCCCACTGCAGGGGCTCAGGCCTTTCTTATGGATGGTTAAGGAGGATGGGCCATGACCCTCCACGCTGGCCCAATGCGGATTGGAGGGGAATTAACGACTGCAAATGCAGCCGGGACCAACGGCTTAACGTGCCTTCCGAAGCATGGAGTAGCTCGAGATAATAAGTTTTTGGTCACCCACCCCGTGACCGACCCTGGCGAAAGTTTCTTAACGACAACGATCGCGGGCCGCGGCGCTTAACCGCTACGCCACCGAGCTACGTTAAAGCTAAAGTTTGAATTTTAAAGAAGATAACTCTGAATTCAAATTTGGAAAAAGTGTGATTTTCATTTGTTTTTCTGACTGTGAGTGAATCTAATGAAGAAATTGGAGACATTTTAAAATTTTATTGTAAAAATTTAAAAATGCAACACAAGGCCCGATAAAATTCATGTACCTAGTGCTGTTTCTGTGAGAGTAGTACAAATTTGATTCAAACGTTTTCAGTCTGTTTTGATATTTGATATCAATGCACGTCGCTCCGGTCGCCTTGTTACTAAGTAAATGCAAAGAAACTTTGTCCCCAACCTATTATACATTACTCACGTCTCAAATTAAGTAGCCAAAGTACTTAAGAATATTAGGAAAATCGGAAAAAATAAAGGTACCACAACATCCAGATTATTGACTCAACCGGTAATCATACCTACGCAGTTGCCCAGAGTTGGCGACACCTTAAAACTGGCCTGCGAGCCACTCGGCCACGGAGGGTCGATATATAACAAAGGTTTTGAAACAAGACCAATATACGAGATATTCCTGAGCCAGCGCGATCTAGTAAGTCTCAAGGAAAAACCAATATCAACCAAATGGCCAATTTAACAACGGAAATCTAGAGACATTAACGGCACGGCTTCGTTTATTAAACGATAAACTGGCATTAATAAGCACCGGCCCTCATGTTGTTAACTGTAACTTGTATTCAGGAAACAAACAATAAAACCTTATGTGGAACCGCTTCCTTGTTAGTTATACGAGTATTATAACTGTTACTTACTTATAAATTACATATGTTAACATCGACGAATCTGCCATTAATGCTAGCTTCATTATATATTTTTTTGCTGTCAAAAGGTGGCGCTAATATTATATTTTAATCGATGATCTATATTATGCTTTAAACGTGGTATAGTGCACGTTTATAGCGTTTAAATTAGCAACTTTAGATTAATTTGAATTATTCACTTTAAGTTCAGAATTATAATATATTTTTTTAAATAGATTCGACTTCAAACTTAATGAAAGTGAAAAATAATAGTTATCTCAAAAGCGACTTATTAAAAAAACTGCTATTAAAGTCGGGCGGAGGTTTTCTGTAGGTTATTAATTAATTTGTAGGTCGCCGACTTTAATAAATACTTATCTGAACTTGAATAAGTCGCTTTTGAGATAAGTATTATTTTCACTTATGTTTGAAGTCGGTTAAAGAAGAAACACTTTATTTTTTTATTAAAATTACACAGATAAAAATGTTCAAAATTCCAAGATGAACTATATCCACTGATTAATACCTATTTCTGTTATTTTAAAATCATCCTTTTGCATTTTCAATGCTTGTTATACGATAATATAGCTATTTAAAAGTAATATTGTAATCGATGATTTTTTTGACGCAATCCGTCTCACGTATACACTAACTGGTAATCTCTCCTCTGCAGAGATTCCAATTTGAGTATTATGTACTGAGCAGCAACGAACGCGACGCGACTTTATCTCACTAATTGAAAGAGCTTTATGATAAAAGCTCGTGTGTAGCGTGAACTGAAAAGGCATATTTTTTCATCAAAAACTGTAGTCGTTTCGGATTTCATAAAAGAATAGCGATTCAATTTTTGGATTTCAGAATTAGTGAGCAACGATGATAGAATTCTTAACCATCCATAAGGAAGGCCTGAGCCCCTGCAGTGGGGACGTAAAAAGGGCTGGTGGTGGATGATAGAATGCGTTCATAATGAAGAGGTAAGAAAGAAAATGGATACAAAAGATAGCGCTTCATTGGTCGTGGATTTTTTACGTATACAATTTCAACTTTAGTGAAGTTGATAATAATTACTAGAACACAAAAGAATCATATTAAAGCGAAGATATTGATTTTTTTTTTGTTTACTTAATGAGGAGAAGGCAACCTTAAAAAAACAAGCTTATAAAATATGTATTACGGTTACATTTTAATTGGTAAAACAAAAGGCAAATCTTCTTGCTAAAGTGATAACTATGTATAAAACCATGGATCTTATTGTAGCTGAAACGTTATTTAGCAAGTCAATCTATGAAGTGGAACGATTTCCAAATGCCTTGGCACATTAACACAACTGTGATCAAGCACCCGTGAAATGAACATTTGTTTACACAGTGCCAGATTTCGTGATGAGTAGTTTTCTAATTTAGGAATAGGAAATGGATTCAGGTGGTGCTCGATAGCCTGATGAGTCTGTGATTACAGAAGCTAATCTACTTTCGCAAAGACCCAAAATGGGTTGGGTGATAAAAAAAATGATATTTCGAGTATCTCTCTGCAACATTGGGTTCGATAAATGAGATATGAAGGTAGCTTGAATGATTTATTTTTAGAACCAAATATAAACACTGTAACATACATAAAATTCATACAAGTTTATGTAATAAAAAACGACGTTTAAAATCAAAACGTAAAATATGTAAAATTAAGTTATTTATTATAACATAAAAGCAAAATAACAAGAAAACCGATACAGAATTACGAAAATCATATTATTTGCAGCGAACGATACCAAAATTACAGAAATCTTTGCCATAATCCCAATGATGCCGAGTAATATCAAAATGATGAAGTAAATAATTGTATTAGCACCGGAATGAGTTGTTCGATGAATGGCCACAGCGTTGATTACGGGAGAGCCCTCCCGACAAAGTTATTACTCGCGTAATACGCCGAAATGTGCCGCTAATAGCTATAATAACGGAACGCGGAACCAATAAGCGGTCGCCGGCCAGCGCCAGCGGGCACAGTAGCGTGCCGCAGGGCACGAGTTGAAGGGTGTCATTCAATAATTCATTTATCAAATATAATATTTAGAGTATATTTCCATCTGAATCGAAAGTTTTTAATATTTGTAATCTGAGAGCCTAATCTGCATATCAATGAACAAAATTTTGAAAGAAGTCCAATCGTTCTTATGGTTTTGTTAAAATCACATCCGGAAAGGTTGCTTGTGCATCAGAGGCAATGTTAGACCGCATCATAAAATTATCGAAAAATTTATGATGCGGTCTAACATTGCCTCTGTATTAGTATTTCGAAAATAGATGAAATTTCATTTTCAGCGAAACAGATGTATATCTTCTGTTCTTTCAAAGTATATCTAGTTCTGCGTAGTAGTTAAAAACAAACAGTGACTCAAACAAAAAATCTGTGACTTATGAAACTCGAAGAATACGTTTTCTGTACATAAATCTATAGCGTGAGAAATTTGGAAGAACTGGCAATCCGGTATTGCGTCTAATTATATGGTCTGCTATTCCGCTACAGTTCATCGCTTACAGAAGCATTACATTGAACAAAACGGCGCACGATACAAATCTGAGCACACGACAGTTAACGCCCCTCGACAGAGTGTCGTGCCGACACGGGCCAGTAGTGACTAACTTATCTTGACAATAGAATGAGGTGTAAACAACTCATTATTTTTAGTTAATCATTATAAGAATTAAATAGACTCTATTAATTACTTTCATAAC